CACACACACACACACACACACACACAAACACACACACACACACACACACACACACAAACATAGGCTACACTAATCAAATACACACACAGACACACACAAACACACACATACACATAACCCATAGATCTATACGCTCAGCCACCCCTAGCCAATCATTCACATTATGACGGTCCGCACAACGATTTCCAAAGCTCGTGTTGCGTTCACATCGAGGTGGTAGTTTAGCGCCTCGGTTCACATCTATATCTCTTTAACGGAAGGATCAATATCATCCATACTTTGCACAGCAGTTTATATCAATTTGTCTTAACTTGTCTAAACACAATTTGTCTAAACATAATATTTTCCCACAATAATTGAGGCTATATTTTAAAAAATCTCTTCATAAATTTATATAAAATACTATAAAAATATCTCTTTCACCTACGTCACAGCTCATCAATGGAAGTTTTTTAGTGGCAAAACTTGTTTCAAGAAATTCAAGTTAATAGCGAAAGCGAACACAATTTTTGCACTAGAGGTTCTCAAAACATGCGTTCAACAAAGATACTGTCACGATTAGAAAAAAAGACAGATGTAAACCGTTTAAGATCTGTAGAAACCACCTGAATTTTTTATCAGTATATTTTATTAAGGAATTTTCTAGAACACAGCTAGATTCTATATAACAGTTGTTGAAAAAAATATTGATCTGTGACAAATTGATACAAGTCAATGTGAAAAAGCCAGAGAGTCTATGTTCGATAGTTCGGGAAATATTCGAAAATAAGTTGCACGACGAATGTTTGACAGGGCTATAGTCTGTCTATATCATATATGTACACTATAGTTTAAAAGGGGGTAACTCTATGGTCTGTACTCTCTTAACACTGAGTACTCTGGGCGTCTAGGTTCACACCATCTTCGTTTTGTTTGAGTAAGGTTTTACGGAGTTCGCAACTGCATAAGGTCATATGAGCACCAAGGGATGGATGTCAACAGAGAAGTTCAAAAGGGGAATCAGGCTTACGTATTCAGCTCTCTAGCCCCAACAGCACAAAGTCTGCTTTGACTATCAAGGCACAGGCTGAAAATAGCAGTTATCAAGCGAGTGACAAAAAATACAAAAGAAGTAGAGGAAGAATGACGTTAGTAAGGATGAGGAGAGAAAAAGCAGTAGTTCCCACTACGTTGTTCCGGCACAGGATGAGCTTCACATTGATGAATAAGCCAATTTACAATTCTACGTGTGCATGTGTGCATGTGTGCATAGGAACAAATACCCCCCCCCAATGGCCTAGGCCTATGTAAGTTAGTAGCACTGCCGTGGGGGTTGGGTTTGGTTT